TATTTGTAGGTTTGGCAGAGAACTTTTGATACTTTTGATAAATAATAGGATCTTTATTAAGTATTTTAGAGTTAATATATTTGATATTATTAATATTTTGTATTTTGGTAATACTAATGGTGTTTATGTTCTCTCTAGTATAGCCTTTAGAAAGTTTCTTTGGAGTTTTCTCTCGAACACTAGGCAAGTCCCCTATTCAAAAGAATTAACTTTCTTCCGAATGGTTTTATGAAGGTTATTTGCAGTTATAACTTCTTCATCATCAGATTCGTCAGTTTCTTCAGATTTTGAATAGTATTCTTCTTCACTTTCTTTTTTATTTCCTTCATAATGTCGGAATTTCTTTTTGGTGAATTTTTCTTTATATGGTTTTCCTTTTCCTTTGTTGTAAGGTTTCTTTGAGAAATTTCCTTTCTTGAATCTTCCTATTTCCATTGGTACTGTTCTTCTTCCTACTTTCTTTCTATTTATATGTGTTTCATTATTTCGAGTACATCCTGGATGATGTCTTGGATATGGTTTTCCACATTGTGAGCAAAATCTTTTCTTTTTGAGTTTCCAATTATTAACATTATTAAAGGAGTCCTTTTTAGTGTTTGAGTAGCAATCCCTAGCAAAATGTCCTGGTTTTCCACATTTAAAGCAGTTTCCTTTAGGTTTGTTACTTTGTAAAGTATCAATATTTTTTATTGAAACTTTCTTTTGAGAGCGTTTTTTTTTGTTGAATTTTGCATTATTTACTCTGGTTACTTTGATATTGGCTAATTTTTCAAAGTTGATTTTTCTACTTTGTAACATTATATGTCTTTCTGCTTGGAATACTCTTTCTCCTGCTTCCCAAAATTCTTGTAAAGTTGTTGAGTTAGCATGATGAATTGCTATTTGTATTTCTATGGGCATTCTTGTTTTGAGATGGTTATATTCTCCTGCTTTGAAGTTGTCATTGAATAGGTATCCGGAGATTTGCATTAGTTTTTTATAAGTTCTTCTCCATGCAGAGAATGCTGATTCATCTTCCCAATTTGGTTTTACAAAGGTATGTTTTAGGAACTTTTCTTGCCA